GTGTGTGTGTGTGTGTGTGTGTGTGTGTGTGTGTGTGTGTGTGTCACCAAAATTAGGCTTGGCAGGTAATCGGATTACAGAGATTTTAGTTCAAATGGGGGCTCTTAATGAGGTTCTTTCTTCACTCCTTCTCCAGCAGCCGTCCACTGAGGGTCTCCTCTTTACCTCAGATAAAAAAGAATCCCAGCAATGCCAGTTGATCTGAACGGATACTGGAAAATGGTTTCCAATGATAACTTTGAGGAGTACATGAAGGCTCTTGGTGAGTTTATACTTCTTAAACATTGATTTATAGACTTTTTATCACATATGAACCTATATTAATATTGATTTCTACAGTTTTTTTATTGAAGGCGGAAAATAAAGTTTTACCTCTTGTGCTGGTCTGTTAGCAAAATATTTCGTGAACCACTCAACAGACTTTAATGAAACTTTCAGAGAGTCGTCATTGAATGTGCATTGACAGCTGAATAATTTCTGGAGTCAGTACAGTTTAACTGAGCCACCATAGCAAATCAACATAAATCAACATACAAATGACTATAACTCAGTCAGTATTACAGATATTGAGCTCTAATTTGACGTGTTAGTAGCTGAGTCCCAACACATCTTTGAGCAGGATATGTCAGGTTGTGCATGTTGTTGTTTTCAAAATGACTACAGCTAAGATGATTTTATTCTAAAACTCTGGCATGAAAGATGACGGGTGATGTGCAGTTCTTCAAAGATTACTTGACCTTTAATATTGCTTATAACTGAACTAACAGCCTTATCTCAGAATAAACATTTTGCTTTTAAAAACTCTTACATTATCTGTTGTCTCAAACTGTTTTCACCTTTTTATTTTATTTTTTTACATGTTTTGCAGATGTAAATGTTGCCATCAGGAAAATTGCCAACTTGCTGAAGCCTGACAAAGACATCGTTCACGACGGGGACCACATGGTCATCAAGACCCTGAGCACCTTCAAAAACTACAACATGGACTTCTACGTGGGCAAAGAGTTCGAGGAGGATCTGTGTGGAGTGGATGACAGGAAATGCATGGTGAGAGCTGATGATGGAGCCCGTTTTAAAGCCTGTAGAGAAAACCAGTAAGGCATTATAGCTCGGCTGCATTGAGTCAGCAGTGGAGGCCTGTGGCATGAACCCATTTGGGTGCAAATTCAGTGGGCTGATTTTTTTTCTCCTTTTTTTTTCAGCAGGAGCCCCTTCAGACTGCAGTAATGAGCAGATGGTGTGGAGAGAGCCGGTCATTTTTTACAGAACTTTCCTCCTACTCAAAAAAAAAAACTTAGTCTAAATTTTAACGGCCTTCTCTGTGACTGGATGTAATGAAGAGCGATAGCAGATATACTGCAGGGGAAGGACTGGGAGAGGCAGAGAGACAAAGTCAAAACTCATTTAACAAGATTGTGTTTCTGAATACTGAATAGGATCAAAGATTATCTGTGATCCCCCTTGAAAAGCCTTTTTTTATATGCTGATAGGCTGATTAAAGATAAGCTGTAAACTGGTGGGGGGGGGGGGGGGGGGGCTCGAAGAGAAAGTCACGTGTATGAATAATTATTGTAAATAGGAACAATCGAGGCCTTAGAACATGACGCGCATTTACCCATTCTTATTACTAACGTTTTCCTGATTTTTCAGTACATTTTCCTCATTACTGCCCATTTTTGCTATTTTATATCAAAACTTTCAGCTCGTTTGAGAGATGGTTGTTGTGACTTTAGGTTTTATAACTTTTAAACATTTCAAAATATTATTATTTAGCCACAGAAGTAAACTGAAACCTCTTCAATAATGTTGTTTTTTAAAATATCTGCTTCAGAATATTTGCTTATTTTTGTTTTGCTACTTTGAGTTTTTAGCAAGCATTTCACCACTTTTAGTTTTTAGATTGCCTTTTGATACTTTAAGCTTTTAGCTACTTTAATGTTTAGCTAGACTTTTGCTGATTTTAGGCAGCCTTTAACTACTTCTCACTTTTAACCAGCCTTTTGATACTTTTAGCATTTGGGTAGACTTTTTAACATACCTTTGGTAGTTTTAGTTAGCCTTTTGCTACTTTTAGTTTTGAGTCAGCCTTTTGACTATTTTAGCTTTTAGCTAGGGTTTTGCTATTTTTTGCTAGCATTTATTTACTTTTAGGTAGATGTGTGCTTCTTTTAGCTTTTAGCCAGCATTTTGATACATTTAGCTTTCAGCCAGCATTTTGCTACTTTAGTGTTTAGCCTTTTACAACTTGTATCTAATAACCAGCATTTTGATACTTTTAGCAAGCTTCTTTTGCTGCTTTTACTCTTTAGCCTATTTTAGCCTTCAACCAGCCTTTTGCGATGTAAAGCTTAGCTAAAACCTTGCCTCTCTTTAGCTATTGTTTTGCTTCTTTTTGTTTTTACAACTCAGTTTCAGCTTCTGTAGCAGATTTCATTAGTCATCCAGCACTCAGCATTCACAAAGCTCAGAAAATACAGTTTGTTTGTTTCGTTCAGTTTTAAGGCTCCTAACTGGGGCAGCTTTTGTGTTTTAAGCCCCTCATTTTTGTCTGTGCCTCTCACTTCATGCAGACCACCGTCAACTGGGAGGGAGACAAGCTGGTGTGTGTTCAGAAGGGAGAGGTTGAAGGAAGAGGTTGGACCCACTGGGTGGATGGAGATGAGCTTCATCTGGTGAGAAAACATCAGCTCCTGGCATGAATATTAATCTAAGCAATTTAGACTCTTTAATCCCCGTCCAAATGCCTCTCAGCGCAGTATGTGAAGTGTATTTTCCTGTGTGACTCCAGTTTGAATTGATTCCCACTGGCTCCGTGTGGAGCGTCTGGACACAGAAAAAATATCCCAAAATATATGTCAAATATATAAAAATAGGAGATTAAAACTGAGTGAGATCCTCTCCGCACACCTTTTAATGTTCTAACATGTTACTTACATAAAAGCAAATTTACTATTACATATTATTACATGTTTATGTGACACCTCTGTGTGCCCTGTAATGATCTCATTTGCATCTGAAAAGTAATAACAGGCACATTACCATATTTATTAGCTTAATGTTATCAGATTATCTTCTGTATGATTAAAGTTATCAAAGCTAAATAAGAATAATTTTCCAAATGATTTGGCTGAGGTGTTGCCAGCAGATGTTTTGAATCAGAAGCAATGAAATTAGGTTTTATTAGGATGTTTTCCAAAACCTCCCGGTTTGGGTTCAGAGCAACAGTGACCTCTGGTGGCAGGACTTGTATTACATCTTAGATGAAATCCTAAAGGGAAAAAAGTTTTTAAAGTTTTATGTTTAATATTGTATTTAATTAAGTTTAGTTTTAAATTTTCACCTCAATGTAAGTTTGTCCACCTTTAATTATTATTTTTTAAATTATATTTGTTAAACGAACCAAACAAATTGCTCATGGAAACGGACCTCCGTACTGACCGACTAATTAGTTGGTTATTATAAGCTCATAAAAAAGAATATGTGGAAGTAGCTTAGAGTAATGCAGAATGCTTTAGGTTATTTAGGTTTTCTGTATGCTTGTGCCTCTGATATTTTAGTTTCCTTGGTGAAAATTCCTTGTTTAGCTGCAGCACTAATCCAAATGCTTGGGGTTGATAGTGAAGTTAGTAAAATACCTCCCACTTCTTTTCCATTTTTGTATTTACTTACAATGTTATTAACAAGCGATCCTTTTTTTTCTTTGTTTTTTTGTCTCCTGCAGGAGTTGAGGGCTAAAGGAGTTATTTGCAAGCAGGTCTTCAAGAAAACCTAAGCTGACTTTATTCAGCAATCTGGTGCTTCCTGCAGACACTGGCTCAGATGCAGTGTTCATCATCTAACAAAATTCATGTCACTTTTGTGTCTTATGAACAATAATTTTCATTAAAGGTTACTTGGTTTGGAAAGATCACAAACCCCTGATCCATACCGTTCCCTTACTTTGCGAGTTAGCATGTAACAGTTATCAGATGTAACACAGATTTTGGCCTGAGCCCAGCTGCTGTGATCTAGACGTTTTATGCCTTGAATGTTTGCAAACAGCCGACTAGCTGCTCTTAGAGTATAGTGATGAACTAGATCCCTCAATGGAGTGAAGAGAAATGAACAGTTGTTGCCGATGAGAAGTGTTGACATCTTCACTGCATTCAGTGTTCAAAAAGAACATCCGGCACGATGTATATATATTTTTCCTGCTGATATTGAGATGAATCAATGAATCAATAAAGCTGATTTCAGCAGTGTCAATGTTTTTTTCTGTTCACCATGCTCCGAATCCATCTCTCTCAGCTCACCGTTTGAAATGCTGATGTGAGCGCTCCATATGTCCCTCTTACTCACTCTTTTTTTCTCTTTTGTTGTTGTTTTGTTGCTCACCCTGTCATTCTACCCCCAGCTGCTTCTTGTGCATTCGCTCCGAGCCACGCTCTGCTCTGACCCACAGGTTCTGTTTATTTATGGTGCCCCTGAGGGTTCATATTGATTTCTCTGTGTGCATGCTTCAGGCTGATAAAAAATGATGGGTCTCAGGTTTGGGGTCAAAACAAAGCCTGATGCCAGACAACTGCATTTATGTTTACCTTCAATAAAATGTTCCTTTTAAATTTAGTGGGTTGTTTTGAGAAGAGTCACCTCTGTACTTTGAAGACTCCTTTTGCTTCTATTTTTTCTTTTTCTTTGAATATTTGACATCCGTTCTAAAAGTTTCCCATTATTCACCTTAACGTTCATTCTTGAAAAAATTTTGCCTGAAGGCTGCGTGTTTGGTCGGTTCATTCTGTGAGGTGAGGCTGGCAGAATGACCCAGGGCTCAGGCAAAAATCCAAATGTAACAAAAAGGTTTATTAAAGAACAAAAAGAGGGCTGAAGGCAACAAAAACACTCTTCTCAGGAGGAACGAGCAGGACAATGAACCGACAAAGACATGTGACAAGACTCAGAATATAAAGCAAACAAACTAAGAGAAAATCAGAGACACAATAGGGAATGGCTGAGCGTGGGCAGGGCTGGAAGCAGGGGAAAGATACACAGGGGAACACAGAAAACACTAGAAAACTAAGGAAAATAAATACAGATTATGACACAACTGTTCAATCATTTGTGTGTTTATTTGGGGCAACTGTGTCATACATTACTTTTCAACAGCTGGGCAAAGTTTTGTAAATGCACAACACACTGTAACCACTTTATTTAAAAGAGTAACATCAACCTCACGAAGCAGTATCGGAGAGATTGGCATGACAAGATCTTATACTTCTGACGTACATTTCCAATCACTCTTTCAACGTGGATTCTCAGATGTGCTATCTTTCTGGTTTCCTCCATATTTTTTTACATCTATCTGACACACGCCTTTAGTAAAAGTTAAGAGTTTCAACTCAGCACACAACATGCCAACAATATATGAATGAATAGCAAAACCTCTGTCAGCCAAAACGATGTCCCCTGACAACAATTTATCCAGAACTTTTCAGGGTAAAATGCTTGTCACTTGTACACCCAGCCATCTCTTTGACAAAAAAACACATGGCTCCTTCAGGTGCAATGCCTGCTTTCATGGTGTGATTGTGATTGTAACTTGAAAACATTTGGGCATGTGTTTTTTGACATTGGTGGCTCTCTGCAAAAATTTCAAAGCTATCAATAACGACAACAAAATGACTGCACAAACTCATGTGGCTTAACTTTACGCAACATGTCTCCATCTGACCATACAATAGAATGTTTAATTGTGAAACAGTATCACTGAAAGCCCTGTAAACAGTAGGAGAAACAAAAAAACAGATCAGCAAGGAGATGAACATCGGGTACATCGAGTCAAAGCCACATAAATGTAGGAAACAGCATTTGACAAGGTGTGAGAAGTGTCTTTTTGGGGTACAGAAACCATATAATATGTCCCACGTATGGGGTTCACCCACGTGGTTCTTGAATTTGAGGTAGCCTACTGGAAAGTCCTCGAAAGGTCCTTGAGTGTGATGTTAACCAAGGTGTGGAAACCCTGGCAAAAATATATTTTTTAGAATTAAAATTCAGTTACGCTACTTATAGTGTAGTGTATACAGAACAGGAAAACAACAGGAGGGTTAACATCCAGTTTAGGCTCCCCTCTGCAGTGTCTCCTGGTTATATAGGGGTGTCCCGATCCAATCTCAATATCAGATCTTGGTCCGATAATAGGTTTCATGGTGTCTTTTCTTTTTGTGATATTTGTATTCATGGTTATGTTAGTAGGTCAGGCTGAAGCTCTTTATTTGTCCTGTGTAATGTTTTGTTTCTACATGATTTGCACCAACCTTCACAGATTCTGCAGTATGGTCATCCTCTTGGAAACACCCGGAGAGTCTGATGACTGAAGCATCTTGAAAAGATTTCTGACTGTTGAAACTGGGATTTTGAGCTCTTTAGTTGTTTACTTGTTGCTTTATTCTCATTGATAAAGGCATTTCTGCTCTCAGTCAGCCCAAGTCATGAGCCATTCTGCCGAATCGGCGCCATTTCCGTCCCCAGGAAATTACATGTATAAATGTGCACAAAAAATAATTGTAAAATACATTTTATTATTAAGCACAATTTGTATATTGACCTAATTGAAAACTGAAGATAAAAACATTAATAAAAACTACTAAGACCACTGAAAATTTAGTCTATGGTACCTGTCCCCACTCTTTAACCATCCACTTTACCATGAAATATAATAATTAAAATCCTTCAGAGATGTATTTTTTTATACATTGACCTAATTGAAAATTGAAGATATAAAATGAAAAAAAATAATAAAAACTACTAAGAACACTGAAAATTTAGTCTATGGTACCTGTCCCCACTCTTTAACTATCCACTTTACCATAAAATATAATAATTAAAATCCTTCAGAGATGTATTTTTTAAGATTTTTGTGTAACTCCAAATCCCATCTATGC